TCTCTCTCTCTCTCTCTCTCTCTCTCTCTCTCTCTCTCTCTCTCTCTCTCTCCCCCCGGGCACCAGAATGCGTGCCAGCACCAACGGAGGCGCTTGGGTTCTCAAGTGCTGCGGCAGATCTTGAAGAGACCGGCGATGCTCATGCTTCAGATGGGCAGCGTGTATGCGGTTTGGTAGTGGAAGAAACCACGCGTGCACGTGCGCACACACACACACACACACACACACACACAGAGAGAGAGAGAGAGAGAGAGACGGTGTTGGGTACATTTTAGATAGAAGAGGCACGACTGATGGGAAATTGTATTTAGTCTCTGGAGAGTGTGGCTGACTTCAGTTGCCAGGCAAGCAACCTGCGCCAAGAAGAGTTTTGATTGCGCCACGATGCACACCTCACATTCCATTCATGGGCTTCTTGAGCGCAGGGACACACGTCTTCAGTACAGCCAGGTGATACATTCCCTGAATAATGTATATACCTCGATGTATATATTGTTTCTTGGGTCCACTTTGTTAATCAAACAATGTAAGGGACGCTGGGCCCGTTTCCCAGCATTGTATGTAGTTATATTCTTTGGGGAAAAAAAACAAAAAAAAAAACAGCAAGGGAGGCCGAGTTATCCTTTTTTTCCCCCTGCTGGGCGCGGTTGAATTGTATGTAGTTATATTCTTGCAAGGATCGTGCAAGCAATTTTTTTTTTATGTAGCTATATGAAATGTGAATTGCAAAAAAAAAAAAAAAAAACACATCAGGGGAGGCTGGGGACCTCACAATTCAACCCGGAGTTATCCCGGCAGCATCAGCTGGTTTAGCTTAGCTAAAGAAGCCAATGGGCTTTCTCCATCCTAATCTGCCTCGGCCTTCTGTCAATAACAACTGATTGATTGAACATTCCTTTTGCTCGTCAGTAACTCAAGCCAGTCGACAAACTCTCCTTCAACTGCTGTAAAAAATAATAAGGATAACGGTGGTGTCGGTTGGGCCTGGAATATGTTTGTTATGCCCCAAACGGTACCCGTTCCAAATTTGCAGTATGCCCCTACCGGATAGCTGTCGAGTACCAGCACAGAAACTTCCATATGCCCCTACGGGTAGGGTGCATCCTTTCAGCGCGCCTCTATGGCTACGCGCATGGCAGCCTCTCTCTCTCTCTCTCTCTCTCTCTCTCTCTCTCTCACACACACACACACACACACACACACTCACATGCACTTCATTTCTCATTCTCTCTCTCTCCCTCTCTTTCACACACACACACACACACACACACACACACACACACACAGAGTCTGGCACAGTCATGCTTTTTTTTAGTGTATAGCGAATATGACAACACACACACAGCCCGTCATTTTTTGCAGCAGCGCCACAAAAACCACGAGCTTCAAATCCAAGTTTTCGGCGCAAGGGCATGATGGAAAGATGAATGCCGCTCATGAGGGCATATTGTGCAGGGACTGGTGAAATGGGACGGGGCGCCGGACAATTTTTCCCAAAATATATATTTTTTAAACCACCAGTACCTCCGACCTGTTTTTGCCGAACCTGAAATATGCTGGGCGCCACAATTCCGCGAGCCTGTGTCCCGCGGGACTTTTCGTTTTCGTTGTTTATTTTTTTCTCGCTCGAAAAGGTGCGTTTTCACTTCTGGCCCGTTGGCCTCCGGTAGCGCCCAGACGCACGTTAGATAAAAAAAAAAAAAGATTTTTTTTTTCTGTGCTTTTTTTTTCGGCCTCTGATGGGGGTGTTGGTTCGCCGGCGAGCGGTACTGCGGACTGGATGGCCGAGGTCGTCCGCGCGTGTGGCAATGGACGGACGACGGCGGTTGCCATCGCCAGCGGCGCATCCTGGCCTCGCATGTGTGTGTGTGTGTTGTCATGTTCGCTCATTCAGGGCCAATCGCCGTCGCAGATGAGAAGACGTCTTCCCGGCGATTGGCTCATTAGTGATTGCCCCACCTCACTCTCTCTCTCTCTCTCTCTCTCTCTCTCTCTCTCTCTCTCTCTCTCTCTCTCTTTAGATGGCCGTTCATTGTGAAGTCGTCATCGTCTATATAAGTCTGCTGTCGCTGTCATGGATGTCATACTCAACAACGAAGAGACAACTACGACGTTGTTTAACATCCATCGCCACGACAGTCGGTTAGTCTCTCTCTCTCTCTCTCTCTCTCTCTCTCTCTCTCTCTCTCTTGAAATGACAGTGAAATGAAAGTGTGACGATCAGTCTGTCGTTTGAATAATTTTTTGTGTATCATTATGTAGTGTTGGAAAGTTATCTTTTTTGTTACCCCCTCGGGGTTGTCACATCTGCGGACGCGGCTGTTTGTGGGAACATCGCCCGTCTTTTGTAAATATCTTGTTTTGACCTTTTCGTTGTTGTTTTTTTTGTTTTTTTCAGATTATTTGTTCGTTTGTCCCATTTCTTTGTTTTGTTATCCCCTCAAGGTTGTGAACTCTGCGGACGTGGCCGTTCGTGGAAACGACACTTATCATTGTTTACGTTTCTTTCCCTTTGTCGTTGTCGTTTTGTGTTTTTCGTTTTTGTTCTTCTTTTTCTCCCCTCCGGCTTCTCAATTTTGTGGACATGGCGGTTTGTGGGAAAGGTCGCGTGTCAACGTCTGTATTTTTTGATCGTTTTATCGTTCTCGTTTTGTTTTTCCCCTTTTTTTTTTCGCCTTTGCCCTTCGGCTTTCTTGCTTCTGCTGCCTTGGCCGTTCATGGGAACGACAGCTGTCATCTTTCGCTGTATTTTTTGTTTTCTTTTTTTTTCGTTTCTCCTTTCTTCTTTGTTGCGGCGGGCCCTATCAACGTATCTATCTGTCTATCTACCTATATATAATATATATATATACATCTATCGTAAGCTCATTGATAGATTGACTTTGAACTCGCCTCCGTGCTTCTGCGGTGTACACGCTACAGAGAGAGAGAGAGAGAGAGAGAGAGAGAGAGAGAGAGAGAGAGAGAGAGATTCCAGTACTGTACCTACTGTACCTCCACATAACGAAAACGAAAACAAATTTCAGAACACAAAGTAGGCAAACAAAAATAATTACTGAAAACATATAACAAACTTATGGCAGATAAGGCTTGCATATGTATAAAGAGAGAATATACAATCATTAAAACCATCATTGTTTATCTCTCCAACAACGAAGAAACTAAGAAAAAAATTAACGAATGTTACTCATCGTTCGGTCGCACTGCAAGGATAAAACATGGCAGAGAAATCCTCGCCATTAGAGACAAAAGAGGGCGGTGACACGACCAGGCGCCAGACACCGTCCCGAGCAACCGTCCCGTAGTGTGTGAATAGTATACGATGTACGAGGGGGAATACGATATCATACATGAAATCACTGTCGACCGGTTTGAGATCAAAGGTACTGAAGTACGTGGTTGGCTTATACATTAAAACACGAACGTTTTCGATGGCGTGGTCGCGAATATAAGTTTGTGTAGTGAGAGTGACTCGTTCCTCCTCCACGCTGACAACGAAATGACGATCCACCTTCTTGTATCCATTGCGATATCCCGCTGCATCGCTGACAGGATCTGTTACGGGAGTCATTGATTCGTAATAGTATACGGTGTCGCCGCCTGTCAGTTTTGTGGTGTGGTAACATCGGACAATCATTGGCGCGCAATGCATCGTCGCTTTTTTCGTATGGCGTTCAAAAAGTGCTGCAATTCACAGAAACCGACACCGTAAGTTATGAACCTTACGATCGAGCAACGAACAATGCAAACATGATATTCTGCATATACCGCATGGGGAGGGGGAACACACTTTAAACATATATATGGGATGAGCGGGTAGTCGCGGTCTCGAACAGTGTTGAAACATATCATCCTTTACGATTTTGTGAGTCAACTCACCTGTTTCAGACTAAGCATGAGACGACCGGGATGATGGTTCATTGACACTTTGGTACTGTTGTCGGCAACCGTCCATTGGCAACACAGTGCGCACATCTTCGTAGAGAAAAGTACGGCGTTGCAGCGGTCTGTCGAGTTTGGAGAAATACCATGCGTTGGGTGCTAACCTTTCCACATGCTCGACCGCAACGATTGACACGATGCACCTTAGCAAATCACCAATCATATCGAAGTCGGGGGGTTCGCAAGCGCCAGGAACGACATCCGGAAGTTTTTTTGTGTGCATTACAACCTCATCAAGGCGATCATGGTCGTTGTACCACAGCCCTGCCACGACCCTCAAAGTGAGGGTGTCATCGATGAACGCGTAGTACACGTGTGTTTTCGTGGCCACAACCCCTTCCCAGTGTTCAAAGTCTCTTTCGTTTTCAGTATCGCGCTCACACACTGTCTCCCTCACGACGATTTCCTTTCCATCAACAACCTCTTTCACAACAACAACAACGTCGGCCATGTTGTGTCGCAAGGTTGAATAAGTGAACCTGGCAATTACGAACAGTCTCAATTGTTAGCCGACGACACTGTGAAAGATGACGACAACACAATGCGTACGATAAGCGACGGACACAATTGAGTCCAGTCTCTCGACTGTAAAAAATATATTTTCATAATTACGAACAATAGTATGTTGGTTGGTTAGTTGGGTGGTTGCGCGTTTGGGTTAGGTGGTTGGTTGGATGGTTGAGCGGATGGATGGGTGGTTGTGTGGCTGGTTGCTTGGTTGGTTGGGTAGTTAGGTGGGCGGTTTGATGGTTTGATGGGTTGGTTGGTTGGTTGGTTAGGTGGTTGGGTGAGTGGTTTGGTGGTTCGGTTGTTGCGTGGTTGGGTGGGTGGGTGGGTGGGTGGTTGTAAGGTTAGGTGGGTGGTTGGGTGGATGGGGGGTTAGGAGGGACGGTTGGTTGGTTGGCCGGTTGGATGGTCGGGCTCCAAAACATGGGGTTGTAGAGTGGTCGGTCGGGTGGTGGGATGACGGTTATTGGATGGTGGATAGTTGGGTGGATGTGGTGGTTGGTTGGGTGGTTGGGAGGGTCGTACATTTGGGTATTATGTTTGGGTGAGTGCGTTTGTGGATTGGTTTATTGGTTGGGTGGTGGGTGGGTGGGTGGTTGTGTGGTGGGACGGCGGGTTGGTGGGTGGGTGGGAGGTTTGGTGGGTGACTGGTTATGTGGGTGGTTGGGTGCTTAGGTCGTTAGGTGGGTTGGTTGGTTTTATGGTTGGGTGGTTGGGTGGGAGGTTGATTGGATAGATTGATTGATTGATATATTGATTGATTGTTTGATTGATTGAATGTTTGATTGATTGATTTATTGATTTTGTTTTTTGTTTTTTTATTCAACCAAAAGATATATATATATATGTATATATATATATAGAGAGAGAGAGAGAGAGACAGAGAGAGAAAGAGAGAGAGAGAGAGAGAGAGACGTACTTACGTGTTTGAAACATATCACTTTGCGAATAAACGAACCCCGCATATATTGCACATTCTCCCGGTCCCAAATGCGACCTCATATGTTTGTAAATGTCAATTTTCTTTTTGAGTTCACTGATCGGATTGATGTGCTGGGCGATGAAACATTCCTCGGACATAAGGTT